TATACCCTAAGAAATTATTCAAGCAATTCAAGCAATTATAAATATTGTGTAAATTCTATACAAAGTATAAGAGATGATTGTATTTTCCTAAAACAATTAAAATTTTATAATTTATCTAAAGAAAGGTATTAGCAAGTATTTTATAAAACCATGAGGTTAACCCCTTTTATCTCTTAGGTGCTTATTTGAGTGCTGGGTACATAGTAGCTGCTTTAATTATTTAGAGATTTAAATACTTTTTTGCCATTTATATCAACATTATAGACCAAAAATATCCACTAAGAGTTCAAAAGTAATGGTATAGCTGGGAAAATTTAGTACTGTTACTTTGGAACAGTTAATTCTTTGTGCATTCATTATAGGATGTTCAACAGCATTCATGGCCTCTATCCCCTAGATGCCAGTAGCAAATCCCCCAGTTAAGACAATCAAATATTTCCAGATATTGTAAATGTCCCTTGCAGGGACAAAATTTCTGAGAAAATGTTGTTGTTTCTGTGTATCAGTTAATACTTCATCAGGGTCCCTCAATTTTTCTAATTAAATAACAAAATTTTATAATTGTAACATTTCTCAAGTTTCTGTAAACTGTGGGATATAAATTGTAAGTGGCCTACAGATAAGTCATTGTCTCCAATGTCCCTCTTAAACCTTCAGAGAATTTCACACAAAGGAATTAATAGCTTCTTCTATTTAAGCCTATCCATGTGTTAGGTATAATACTGAGCACTTCACCTTCACTCTCTCTCTCATCTTATACTCCTGACTATTCACTATTTTAACAACATATCAAGTGTTTCTAGAAAAGTTTTTTTTAATTATATACTGTACTCATTCTGACACTTTTTTTAACTTGTTTAATTTACAATCAACTTATGATCAAAAATTTTCAATGTATCTAGCAAATGCTGACTTATTACAACCTTCAGGAATTGGGGAAATGTTCACAGTACTTAAGAAGAGAAATAATAATTACCTGCTTTATTACACTGTGCCATACTGAAAGAATAATTTTAAATCTTCAATTCATGATTCCCTGAGTACTACCAGTAACTTTTTTCCCTCTTTGCATAACCTGTCAAAAAAAAAAAATTACTTTATAATTGTTTGAGGATTTATTTATAATTTCAATGTGCCTTTTCAATAGAAATTGAAGGCTGGGTACAAATCCCAGCTTGTCTACCCACTGGAACTGAAGACCAGTTAATTTGCTCAGGTCTCAATTTCAACTTGCATAATAAGACCTATCTGAAGGCCTAAAGAATTTGTCGAGCTGCATTAAAAATGTATTTCCCTGCAAATTAAAACCACAATGAGATACCACCTCACCCTAGTGAGAATGGCACATCTTCAAACAACTAGCAACAACAAATGTTGGCGAGGATGTGGAGAAAAAGGAAAGGAACTCTCCTGCACTGCTGGTGGGAATGCAAACTAGTACAACCACTATGGAAAACTGTTTGGAGGTTCCTCAAACTGCTAAACATGGAGCTTCCCTACGACCCAGCAATCCCACTCCTAGGTATCTACCCAAAAGACACAAAAACACTGATTGAAAAAGATACTTGTACCCCCATGTTTATTGCTGCTTTATTTACAATTAGAAAAACATGGAAGCAGCCCAAATGCCCAAAAGTAGATGACTGGATTAAAAAGATGTGGTACATATACACAATGGAATATTACTCAGCAACCAAAAAAGAGAAACACATGTCTTTTGCAGCAACTTGGATGGAGCTGGAAAAGATCATGCTTAGTGAGATAAGCCAGAAAGAGAAAGAAAAATACCGGATGGATGGTTTCACTCATAGCAGGAGTATAATGGAGTAGGCGAGAAAATAACAAAAATAATGAACAACCATATACCAGAGACATTTTGTGGGGGTGGAGTGGGGAATGGGATAAAAAGGGGGGGGGGAGGGGAGGGAAATGCACGGACTATGGTGGTAGCACACGGGTGATTTGGTGATGGGAAATCCGCGGGGATTACAATCGAGATGGAAAAAAAAATGTGCAAAATGATGTAAAAATAAACTTTTGTAATAATTAAAAAAATTTAAAAAAGAAAATATAAATTCATTTTATCCAGTGAAGAAAAAAAAAATGTATTTCCCATTCCTCAGAGTACATTTACCATTAGTTAAGGGCCTATTCTGTTTAGCATTTGTTGAGAGTGTACTAATGAAAATTAAAGGAGGATGTGATAAGGGCAGTTAGTCTAAAATATAGCATGTAACTATTTGGAAGTCAACATTTTCAATCTCTCAAATCCCTCATTTTAAAATTCAAGTGCCATCTAGTAGACTTATTACCTTCATTTGAGATTTTAAAATCACCTGGTATTGTTTCTCAAATAGAATATATATCATAAAATACACTAAGCTGCACGCATAATTTATAACTTATATTATCTAATGTGTTGTCTTACTTTTCTTTTGGTAAGACTCAAGAACCACTTTTGAAAAGAAGTATTCCATCCTTTCTCCCTTCACCCAGAAATGAACTGCCAAGAAATCTTGATTCATATTTCTTTCTAAAAGAAGGAAGATAAATTGGAGTCTTTATTCTCCATGTCACAAGGCTATGTGTATAATTTATTAGTTAACTATCACCCACCCAAATGCATATTATTCATTTAATGGTTTATTCAATAGTAAATCACTTGTGAATGAGTGCATGTTACTTAATATTGCCCTTGATAAATATTAGAAATGCAGGAGACAAAATTTCTGAGAAAATTAAATTGGATGTTTAAAAAGGAACTATTTTGGAAAATAGATTATATAATCCACTACTTCCTTTACTACTATATAAAACTGAACTACTAAATTAGAATTTTTATTAATCAATGGATAAAATTCAACTTCATACAGGGAATCTGTCATTCCAAATTTTAATACAAAAAAGGACTTCACAAAGATGACCTGCAAAGTGGAACCAGAACAGTATCCCTAAAAACAAATCTGTTGGTAATCTAGAATATTATATAAAGTATGTGGTAAGGTTTCAGGTAACAGTTGTTAACATTAAAGTTTGTCATTATAATACTCATAATTTAGAAATCTAAAGTTCATTAAATTTAGTGTTATTTCTTTGGATATTTAGAAGGTTACAAAATTTCATAAAATAATCACCCTTCAAATACCTTTTTCAAATACCTTCACTACACACTCTTTTGCATGCTAAATTTGTTCATCTCTTCTTAAATTGATATCATTAAATGGAATAATAGTTACAAGTTTTTAAAAAATGTTCTGGTCCTCAAATTTAAAATTCTACAGCAATTAAGGGTAATCAGTAAATTTATCAAGTAAATTTATAAAGTTAAGTATAACCAAAATCAAGTTGATCATTAACAACATAAAAAGCACAACATAGGGAAAATAAGACTTTCTGTCCATGAATATACTAAAAAGATCAACTGTGCCCTAATTTTCTAGTTTAAAATTTCTGTAGATCCAAAATCTACCAATAATTGTTTTCTAGATGTGAAAAATACAGCCATGAAAAGTACTGCTAGGTCACTGAACCTCTAAAGCTGGTAAATGTTAACACTAAAAATAAAAATACATTTTCAAGAAAGTCACTATATAGATAGAGAGTAGTGCCAAAGAAAATTGGCACACACTTTGTACCAAAACAATTTCCTATCTATGTGGGAAATGATGAAATCAAAAGACAAATTAAACTAAAGCATTAATAACTTACTTTAAAATGTTCCACCCTTTTTTTTTCCAAAGCTTGGGAGAACATAAAAATAAATTTCTCCAACAAGATGCCCATTTCTTATTAATGTTATTTCTCACTTGTTACCAAAATGAAATACTAACTTTAATATGTAAAGAACCCATACCCTTTAAATATTCATTCATTAACTTACTATCCCTATTTGACTGAAAAGGAAAGAACAGCAGTAAGAGGTTAGATAACTAGTCCAAGCCAATGCTACTAACGAAGTGGTGGAACCAGAATTTGAATCCTATATATCTAATGAGGTGGAAAAATAATATTTAATTTTTTTCTCTAAAACAGTTGGCAAAACAAGAGTTTTATGAGAAGAAAACATCTAAGCTATACCCGTACATAGATGTAAATGATGAAGATTAGACTTTACCCCTAGACAGGTACTTTGCTTGTTACTATATTTTATTATGGTCAAACTCTTTACATTAAATCATAGTGGCAGTCAATCAAATAAAGAAAATAATTAAGTATCGGGACACTGTATTTTACAGGCTAAATAAAACATTGTAATTTATAAACTGAGGGGATGGTGATGTAGGTGGAGCAATAGTTTAAGAAAAACTACTTTCTCTATGATCAATTAATTAGAAAAGAGTGCATGTATCAGGGCAAGGAGGTTAGAAAAGGAACGATGACAGTCACACTGCCACAACCCCATCTCTCCAAAAAGTAACTAAATCACACTGGGTCAGCGCCTAATCCAAAAGGAGAACTGGCCCCGCGATCTCCTAAGGGGATGACAGGAGACCCTAGCAGAGGGGGAGGGGTGGCGATGACAGGAAAGGGGGCGACAGAGAGATGGCATACTTCTCATCTCCGAAAAAGAGGAGACTACTGGGGGCAAGGGGCGGAGTAGGGGAGGCAGGAAATGTTTCCACAGATCCCAAATGAGGTGAGAAGGAACAGGGTAGGAGACACAAGAAAGGCGGGACCCTCCGGCTGAAAGGGGTCTGTCTGGGGCCGGGGACGGTTGTCAGTACAGAGCTCTCCGGCCAGCTGACCCCCACTCTTTCCAACCGCTGCCATCGCCGCCAAACTCTCACTTTCTCGGCCACCCCAAACGCAGGGGTCATCCCCGTTCCTTCCCCGCCCCCCACCCCAGGCAGGAGAGGTGGAGGAGGGAGCTTCACCCTCTCTCCTCTTGGGCTAGTGGAAGCACCACCCGACACAGCCCAGATCCGGGGACCTGAGGGCCAAGAGACACAGGGAGGCCCAGGACGCGGGTGACAAGTCCCGGCGGCCGACGGGCGCCTCACCTGACAGAAGCGTCGGCAGTAATCCCGACTGCTGATCCCGACGCCGCCGTCACCGCAGCTGCCGCCGCCAGCGCCGCCTCTGCCGTCGCCCGCAGCTCTAAGCCCCGCAAGGCCAGGCGGAGACTCCACAATGGCCACAAGCTCCTCTCCGAGGCGTTCGGCCTCTTGGTCGCTCTCTTCCTCCGCCATGAGGCTCTCGCCGCCCAGCGCGTACCAGCCCCTGCGCCGCCGCCGCCGTAGCTGCCTCGGCTAACCTCCTCCTCCTCCTCTAGTTCCCTCCCCCTTCCTCCGCCCCAGCCGGACAGGGGCCTCCCGGCTAGCTCTACTTCCGGCTCCGCCCACCCACGCCCCCAGCTTTCATTGGAGCTTTCTAGCCGCCAATCATGTACGAACCCGCCCTCTCACGACCATTGGTCAAATCAGCCGTCTGTTTGATAGACCCGCGATCCGTTGGTCAAATACTGCTCGGCGGTTGCTGGGGACCTCCTACGCGCTTTGCCATAGGCGGCGCAGGAGGACGGGGCGCGGCGGGGGACACGGCGGCCGCCGCGGGGCTCGATCGGG